TGTGTGTGTGTGTGTGTGTGTGTGTGTGTGTGTGTGTGTGTGTGTGTGTGTGTGTGTGTGTGTGTGTGTGTGTGTGTGTGTGTCTGAGACTTTTGTGTTTCTGCCCCTGCCATTCCCGCACAAGGTTGCTACATTGTTGATAAACTAAAGCATGGACACCTGTCTGCTCTCACATTCCCGCATTATGTTTTGCGGGAACCAATCTTCATTTTTTTCACATTCTATCCCAGCTGCACATTTGGGGCAAGACACAATAAATAAAGCTTCTACAGTTTGGGTCCTTATCACAACTGATCAAGATGGCCAAAAGATGCTCTGCTCAGAGGGCCTTCAAATGATTCTGGAAGAGAGTGAACCATTTGATGATGATGTAGAGGAAGAGGAAGAGGTTTCAGAATGTGAGGATCACATTTCTGAGAATTCTGAGTCTGACAGTGACTTTGAAGAAGAGGATGAGATTGAGCATCAGCATATTATTAATATTCAATGCCAGTTATTTTTGATATGGGTTACAGGGTTAACCCTTGATGTGTACTTCCATATCTCTCTTTTGGTCTACTTTCTGTCTCTCCACCTACTCTCCTGGCCTCTCCTGTTTCTGGTGATCTGCAGTACTTTCTTCTTTGGCTCCTGCACACTCGTCTCCCTCCACCTCTTCCTATACTGCTCTTTACCTCCTCCTACACTCCTTTTCCTCTGGTTTTATATCTCTTTTCCCAAGCCATCTCTGGCAGCAGCTGCATCTCTGGAAAAAGTATTTATAAGCAATAAAACATGTGAAAACGTGGAAGATATGAATGGATATTGCAATATTTATTAGGTATTGGTTGAGGCTGCAAGCTATTTAACTTTGTCTAAATAGGAGTCAATGGAGACTGTTAAGAGCAACTTAACATCTATTTAGCTTGAATATGCCCCCTTGACTTTTTCAGAATCTGTTGATTTTATCCTCTGCAACTTAACAAAAGCTTCAAACAAGAGTTGCGTATTCAGCTGTGGCTCTATGAAGTCTGGATAACCACCAGAGACGATGTGTGAAACCATCATTTCCACCACTGTGGAAGAATGAAATACAATTCCACCACAGAGAAGTGAATGTCTTGGAGTGGGCGCAGAATGGACATGATCATAAATCAGCAAACAGGTCCTGAAACAGTTGCTTTTTAGTGTAGCAAAGTCAATACATTTTCTGGAGGTCTAGAGAAAACAACATTACTGGCTTTAGTAAATACAAATCTGCAGGAGCAATGTAGATATCACCTTTGAGCTATGACCACAGTCATTTGAAAGTATAATAGTTGTTCATATTGTACTTTGAATTGCCTTGGGTTGAAAGGTGCTATATAAATAAACTTGTCTTGCCTTGCCTAGTGACTCTACGTATGATTTGAAGGGCCCCTATTGTGGTTGTTTGGCTTTCCCCTTCCCTGTTGTGTGTTCTATAGGTTTTAGTGCATGTTAATGGTCTGCAAAGGCTAAAATCCCTGTGCTTCTCTCCCACACACTCTCCCAGTCTGAAACGCTTCCATTGGACTCCTTTGTTTACTTCCGCAAATACTTTTTTGAACATTAAAGCATGGAAACATGTCACAGTAGAGGCACACCAATATGAACCTGAAATTATCATATTATGTCCTCTTTAAATGCACAGCTTTGCCTGATTACAATATATTCTTGAGTTAAAAAAGTTGTATCATTCAGATAGGGAAGAATAAACAGTTAACAATCCTAAGAATGTGGCCAAACTTTGATGCCAACTTTCCATTCTGGCCAGAGTCAGATGCTCGATGCTGAGTGCTACAGGTCTTCTTGTTTCCAAGTTACGACCCGATCCAGGACTTTAATCCAGGCCGTAAAATCATTTTGAGATTATTCAGGTTGTGTGCTAAGTGGATAGAGTGCTGGACTTCGAATCAGGGGATAGCAAGTTTGAGTCCCACTGCAGTCAGCATGTCGGTGTGTCCCTGGGCAAGACACTTCACCCCAAATTGCTCCTGTGGGGATTGCCCACAGTACTGAATGTATGTAAGTTGCTTTGGATAAAAGCATCTAACAAATGACATGTAATGTAATGGAATGTGTGCTCCCTCCCCCCCCCCCCCCCCCCCCCCAGTTTTGGAGAGACGGAGAGAGTGTGAGCAGTGAAATGCTTGAAAAATGATGGCAGTGTTGGTGCTCTCTTTATATTTGGGTTTAACACTCCGTGTGTCTTGGGGTCCCTTTGAGATGCGGTTTAGGAACGTTTTCCATCTTTTTTGCAAATCCAAAAGTGTGAAGACTCTGATTTGAGTTGGTTGTCAAAAGGCTTAATAGCTAAAATTGGCTAGGACACCAATTTTATTTTCTGTCAATCAATTAAACGATATATCATGTCCAGCTCTTGTCTGCGGAATTATTGAAATGCTTACTGGAATCTCATTATTTGAAGAATGCAGTAAACAGCAATGTAAATGCATAAGATTTATAATAACATAGGGTTAGTTCTGCCTCATATCACAATGCAAAAATTCAAATAGGTCTCTCGTTTCTCTGAAACTATAAAATATTTGTGCTGTGCGGGCGGTGAGAAGCTGATAGAGGCTGTGAGAGCATGAAATATTTCCAACATTAAGAGACACAGGGGACAAATAACAGCTTGCCCAATACTAATTAAATGTTGAAATGCTTTCTATTTCACTAAAAAATGTTTTTTCTCCCCGAAAACGATCGGGCAAAGCTTCAACTTTGCATTGATAAACTGCACCAGAACCCAATTTTATCTTTTTGTGATATGTCCTTTAAGATGTTCTATCAAATGTAAATGCTTTCTTCCTCCTCTCCTCTTCATCTGCGCTTGATTCTGTCGTCTGTTTTCTTTTCATCTTTCCTCTCTGTGTCTCCTTTTTGTCTGGCCCTCTCTCCTCCTCCCTCTTTACGTTTGTCTACTTCCTCTTCTCATTTGTCTATTTCTTCTCTCTTTTCACTGTCTTCTCTCTCTTTCTGTCTGCCAGGCCGTGGCCTACTTAACGTGTCTTCTGCTTTGTGCCTGTTTTCTTTCATCAACTTGGAACTTTTTTAGACTCTCCCCTTTTCCTCACCCCTTTATCTCTGCACTTCCACTGTTTCCCATTCACTCTTTCTCTCTCTTTTACCTGCATTTGTTCCTTTCATTTGTTCCTCTTTTCCCATTCCTTCCAACCTGTTATCCCTCCACCCTCTTCCTCCTCTGCCTCTCCATCCATTTGTACCTCGCTCTTCATTGTGTGGATGATAGCTGTCAGGAGATCTCATCACTGAGTCTCTCTTATTACATGATTACAGGGTAATTATCCTGTGAAGTTGTCTTTGCCCGAATCTTTGTTAGACGCTTAATGTCTTTTTAATGGGGTTTGGAGACTTTTTAGTCTTTTGTAGTTGCTGCGGACTCTTCAATGTATTGCATTTACATGTGATTGGCCTGGAACACTGTGTCCTGATTAAGTGGCACTTTTCGCTCCAAATTGTCAGTCAGACTGGCTTCATTTATAACTTCTGGCCTCGGCTTTGTCCTAGACGCCGTCATCTGCCAGTGTCTGATGAAGCTGGGCCTGATGAAGTTTCTCTAATGATCAGGACGAGCGTGGAAATAAAAACTTGGCGTGGGTTTTAAAGTAACGGGGAAAGGCGGGCAGGTAAAGTGTCATGTTGCTCATCAATACTGTAACCCTCCCAACTTCGATGTAGAGTTGTTCAACAAGTAGCACAGTCCCAGAGCGTAGATTATTATGGAACATCTATTTATCAATGTCTATCCCATATGCGCTCACATAGTTTCTCTCACAAATATCGGATATGTGAGGGATAATGTTCAATTTGATCAAAATCACATGCTCAATGGTCACCCTGTGTGCTTTTATTAATGACCGCCTCGTTGCACATTATTCCGCTTAATATACTAAATAAACCGACGACTTGACTCAACATATTGATTAAACATTATTTTATTTACTTAAAGTCATCGTTTTATCCGCTAAGAAAATAAAGTACATTTTCCATGAACCAGTCTTTACACTGCCATAGCCCCTACCATGTTCCTGTTGGGGTTTACTTCCTGTCTGTCTTCTACTCCTGATCCCGTTAGTGTTTACTTCCTGTCTGTCTTCTTCTGCTGATTTTCCTGACGTACAGTGCTCTGTCTTTTAACCTCTTTCCTTACATTTTTTTTCTTTTTTTTACTGGGGACATCATGAATCCAAAATCCAAAATCTGCTCTCCACAGATATAAAAATGAATATTCAAAAAGTATTTCACTGTGTTTTCTGATGGAAGAAAACTAACCAAACTTCTTTCTGCTGATTGATATGACTGACCATCAGCAAATCATCACCGTATGAGATGCTTGAATGAGAAAATCTTCTGTATTTAACTTGATTAATAACAATCTGGATGATGATCTATTACAGCTGAATTTACTTTCGATTGAGTGATTCATTCAGTCTAGATGAAGCAGAAAAACAGGGTATAAACTCTTGATGAATAATGTCCAAACTGTTTTGAAGCTGCTGCTATTTCAGTGAAAAGTATTTCATGCTGTAGAAAAATACTTAAGATTTAATGTAAGTTTTCAGGGTTTTTAAGTGTATTACTTTACACCTAACTTGTCTTTGAAGAAACTTTTATTTCAAATCTCATAATAGTACAAAACTGCGCATATTTCTGGTACAGTTGACCCCAGTGAGAATTAAAATCTCTGTTGATGTTGATGTGTGTTATGCTTTATACTGGGTTGAACTGACATCTCTCAAAAAAATAGAACCAAAAGCCTGTTAACAAAAGTGCAAATTATCTATTTTTTACCCTTCTGTCATTGCCCATCATGCATTTTTCCCGTTCTATGTCTTATTCTGGTTGAATGCAGCACATTACTTCAAACACAAACAATATCAACATGACTATCTTTTCCCAAGTGGCTTCAGCTCAGTTCACTGAACACAAACAATATTAACATGTCATTTTCTCTCTCTGTGTTTGTCTCTGCGCAGCTTGAAAGCCGCTGCTGTCTGTGATGCCCTCCCATGACGCCCAGGTCGCTAGCTGACACTGCCAGTGAGCGGGAGACGCCACTGCACAACCGGTCCTGGGCCGGCACAGTCAGCCGGTTCTCGCCCTCCCACTTGCACACTGGAGATTAAACTCCACCCACCTACCAGTATCCACAGCCATCAGCTCCAATCCACCCAAGTAAGTTCCTTTCATAAACCAACTCACTGACGTCCTCGGCCAGCACCAGCAGCAGCCAAAAACCGCAGTATCTTCAACGCAATCAGCAACACCAGCACAACCATTATTAACACCACCAGCAGCAACCATCATGTCCAGTCGTAGAAAGTCCTCCACCCCCTGCATGGTCCGGGTCGTGCATGAAGAGCAAGATGACCCTGATGAGGTAATGGATGTGGAAATATTGACGGACAACTATGCGACAGAAAAAGAACAATCAGAATCATCTGAAACTGCAGAAGACCTCCAGCAGGAGAACTCAGAGAAACCAGACCAGCAGACGTTTCCAGAAACAGTGGAAACCCAGAATACTGAGCCATTAGAACAAACGGAGCAGTTGAGTGAAAAAGACCAACCCCCTGTCATTGACGATGAAGAAACCATAGAGGAGAAGGACAGGGAAGAGGTGGACTCTGACCCGCTGTCTCAGAAAAAAGAGTCCAGAGGCTATGAATGCAAATACTGCCCGTTTTCTACACAGAACCTGAATGACTTTAAAGATCACGTAGACTCCAGCCACCCTAACGTCATTCTCAATCCGTTGTACCTCTGTGCTGTCTGCAACTTCAACACCAAGAAGTTTGACTTGCTCACAGAGCACAACGAGAGCCAGCACCCGGGCGAGACGAATTTTAAGTTCAAGCGGATAAAAATGAACAATCAAACTATCTTAGAACAGACAATCGAAGGCAAGGACAATTCAGTTGTATGCGAAATGTCAAATGAACAGGACGACAGCAACAGCAGCTTGCAGTTTCCACCATGCATATCAACCGCAGTGAAAACCCCCGACAACATCCAGTCACTGTATCAAGGGGGGGAACTGAAGAGCCAGACTCAGAAGAATCAAATCACAGTAGTCAACATCAACGGAACAGTGATCATCCCCGAACCCAATATCCTTCAAGGGCTCTCGCATGTCACCCCAATGCTCCAGCGTCCGCCTAACTTTAACTCTGTACCAAAAATAGCTGTTCCCTTGAACACCACCAAATATAACCCTTCTTTAGATGACAACTTAACGTTAATCACGTCCTTTAACAAGTTCCCTTACCCAACGCATGCTGAGCTGTCGTGGCTGACGGCTGCCTCCAAGCACCCGGAGGATCAGATCAAGGTCTGGTTCACTACCCAGCGGCTGAAGCAAGGCATCACCTGGTCCCCAGAGGAGGTGGAAGAAGCCAGGAAAAAGATGTTCAATGGCTCCATCCCTCCTGCACATCACACGTTTACTGCCGCTCACCCGTCTGTCAAATCCACCCAGCAGACCTTTGTCCACACCACAGTCGGACACACAAGTTATGTCCGGACCACTACGTCCAATGGGTTGAGTGTAGTCACCACCACAACTTCTCCCGGTGAAGTTGCAATTGGTTCCAGCCTTGCTATTAAACGATCTTTGCCAACACATCTAATGACAGTGTCTGGCCCGGAGGCTAAACGACCCATAATGGCAGTTGCCCCCCATTCTGGCAATGCTAAAGACAGGGGCCTCATGGCTCCTCCCCCTCCTCCTCCCCCAAAAGACCGCCTCCCAATGGCTCCGCCTCCTGTTCCAATGGAGACGAGGAGACCTGTAGCAGTTCCTCTGGTCACCTCTGAGATGAGGTGGCCATCCTCAACTGTGCCTTTAATGCCACCGCCCTCATCATCATCTTCTTTGTTGTCCAAAGGGAAGATTCTCTCTACGTTAGGAAACACCAAAACAAAGCCAGTGGTGTCCCTGCCCTCCCTAGTCTTTCCAGAATCTTTAACAAGGCCCTTGATAGTTCCTCCGCCTATCTTTGCGCCTTCATTTAAAAACCCTTTACTTTTTCCTATAACTTCGCCTATCACTTCCAAAGAAAAGCACCTTTATACTCATGCGTTGGCAGCTTCTGATCAAAAGCTGCCAAACTCCCCACCACTCAATGGCCAACAGATAAGAAGGCCAACCATTATCCAGTCAATTCGGGCTCCTACTAAAGCCCTGTCCCAGATTCCAGGGTTTCCCTTCGATAGCAAGAAACTAAAAGAGCAACAAGGATTTGATTGGAAATCCAGCTACCCCAGAGGAGATAAAGTACTCTATCCTCTGGCAGAGGCCAACGGGACATCTCGTACAGACGGAAAATGGTCCCACAATCACAACTCCCTGGCTCAGCACAATGGTGTCCTACATTTGGATGGTGGTGAGCTGGCTGGAGTCCTGAAACCAGACTTTCATCAAAAGTCCTCAGTCCTGACCCAATTCCCCTTGTTGGAAAGGATGAAAGGAAAGACAGCGGAACAGCTGAAGATACTGGAGGAGAACTTCTTGAGGAATGGCTTTCCCACTCTTAATGATGTGGATAATCTGGCGGGCAGCACCAACTTGTCTCACGAGGAAATCGAGAGTTGGTTTGTGGAACGCCGTGCACTACGCGACAACCTGGAACAAGCCCTTCTTAACTCCATGGGCACTAAGAGGATGGGCACCGGTGGCATTGCTGCCATCACTAAGAAACGACTACATCAGCAACAACACCAAACCCTACAGCTAAACGGGATTCACAAGCCAAGCACTGGTGTGGGCCATCTTAAAAGCCCTTTGACTCCCTCGCATTCCCTGCCCATCATTGCACCCTCCATCCCCAACCCTAATTCCTGCTCAGTGCCTCCAGACAGCAGATCCCAGGCCCTCCTCAAGGACGATTTTGCTCAAACGCGGTGGCCTTCCCCTGAGGAGATCAGCCAAATGGAGAGTCGGACAGGACGCGCCGAAATTGCCCGCTGGTTCCACGACAGCCGGCTGCAGAGCGGCCACATGGAGCTGACAGAACTTTTTGTGAATGGAGGGCAGGGGCAGCCTGTATACTCTCCCAAAAACTCTCCCCCCAACATCCTCCAGCGCTGTCAAGAAGGAGCCCTGACAAACAACCACAGCAGTAAGATGTTGGAGGTTGAGTTGGGCTGGCTGATGGATCAGCGCGCCCATAGCCTCAGCAGTCAACAGCAGGATGAGCTCCACGACCGGCTTGCTGGCAGGTACTGGTTTCATAATTTTAAACACTTTTTATAGTCATGTATTTTGTTTACTTCTCTGGGCCTTTCTGATTTGAGTAGTAACAGTTCTCTCAAATTGTTAGTCACACTTATTCCAAACATTTGTCTGAAGTACTTAAATATAAGTTGGAGATTCTCGAACACAGGGGAATGACAGGCAAACAGAAGGGGTGAAAAGACAGTTAGGGTCGATAACCGCTGTAAACATTGGATTTTATGACGGACCTCTGCCCATCGATGGGATGGCAAAATGGCCGGTACACCATCGACTGTGGTAAGAAATAGTTTCAACTGCCCATCCACTGATGGTCTGCATTCCAGTATAGAAATTGAGTTCTGGGAAGGGTTATGTTAAGAATATCTATTGTGAGTCATCTAACCTTGATTTTGGCTGGCCCAAAAAATCAAAAACACATGAATTATGAAAAACTGTTTCATGGTCTAACTCCACAACGACAATATTCAGAGTCTTTTCACATGTTCAGCTCTTTACTTACATGTATTAATGCGTTTAGAAACAAACATTTGATTTTACTTTACTAGGACTTTAAGGGTTACAAGGTCAAACAAGGTTGCAGGCAATGTAAAATGGGTTTCTTGTCTTTTTGCAAACAAATGATGAGAGAGAGTCCATATCATTTAAATAAATGCAGACAATGAGGGATATCCATCTCCTAAACTTGTCCATTAAACTGGACATATTGGTGGGGTTAGATTAATGGAACCCTAACACTCGTGCAAATTAATATGATGCAGTGCTTCTAACCAAGCATGTCACATGAAAACAGTCAAGTCAATTTAATTTATATAATATAGCATACAACCTCCTCTGTTTCTACTCACTGACATCTTCTGGGGTGCGTCCAAAACACATTTCCTGCTTCCTCTCAGTGAGTTTTGTGTTGTTTTTGCCACATTAACATTGTTTCAGGACATTAACCAGCGAATCAACAGGACTCTATTTAGTCTGCCTTCTCTTCCAGGAGCTTGGGAGATCTTTGGCTAAATAACAGAGCCATTAGGTTGGAAACCAATATCTCCACAATCATTTAGGCAAGAGTTAATTTTTCCCATGAGTCAACTCTGGAATGGAAAGCACCACAGAATGAACCTGCACTGACGGCACACTGACAACCTTCTGGTTCTTGTTGGTTTTATAAACTCCGTACACAACAAAACGCACTCTGTAAAGAACAATGAACAGACAACTAAAAATTAATGAGACAGGAAGGCAAGGTTCTTCTACAGTCATTATTGCTGCTTTTTAAAAGTAAATCCAATGAAACAATTCTGAAATCTACTTTAGATAACAAAGGTTAACAGTAAATTGTGATCTTTTAATTAATGAAGTATTATTTTGTAATTAATTTTCCAAAAATGTAAACCCAGACATGAAGTTTGTCCTAGCTTAAACACAATTGAGGCACGAAGAGAATGTAGTCCTTCAGAATGTAATTATTTGAGTATTACGAACCACTTTTGTTTATTCTGATTGTGAGCTTTAGTATCTCAAATAACAGAAAAGGATGACTGTTCCCTTTGTTAATAAAAAAACAAAAATCAATCAAAACAGATTTCAAATATTATTTGATAGATATTTTTTCCTTAATCTGCTAGAATTAAATATATGACAGATCGGTTGCGTCTTAACTTTACAGTGCCATCTAATTTGTTTAAGAAAGCATAGTGGTCCGAAAGACAATTTCTAATTTAGGATAGGGGGACACTGGTCTGTATGTATTTTGAAAAAAGTTTTATATCAACTTATCCTTATCGTGTCTTCCAACCCAGTATGTCTTGTCATTTCCAACACGTATAGCACACAGAACAGAAAATAAATATGCATATTATTATATTATACATATTATATATGTGAAACAAATTAAAGAATAATCCGTTTTTATATGATAGAAAAATGTATCTTAATCTTTAATAAGATACAATACTGCGTGTGGCGCAGCGGGCTAGTGCGTTGGTGTTCGGATCAGCGGAGCACAGGTTCAAACCCCACTGCAGTCAGCATGTCGTTGTGTCCCTGGGCAAGACACTTCACCCCAAATTGCTCCTGTGGGGATTGTCCACAGTATTGAGTATGTAAGTCGCTTTGGATAAAAGCGTCTAACAAGTGACATGTCATGTAATGTAATGTAATACTAAGCACCTTTCTGTTTCTGGATCTTAATGGTTTAGTAGTGTTTTCATCAATCACCAGTAATGATTTAACATTCGAACATGTTTGGTAAATACGAGCGTCTCTCAGTTTCTGTATCTTGACCTGTGACTGACTCCAACAGACTGAGGCAGCAGAACCTGGTGGAGTTTAAGAACGGGGGACGGAATGGAGGAGTCGGGGGAGGAGTGCGGGAGATGTTCGGCAGTTGGCTGGAGGACGGACACTCGAGGAGGGGGCGGGATCTGCTCCTGGACAGAGAGAGGAAGATGACAGATGACACATCTGGGAGGCTGACTGGATAAACGGTAAGAGAGCTGCCAGGTTTGTTTCATGTCAGCTGTTATTATTTTAGAGATGTGGTTCTGGTTGAATTGTTGTTTTTCTTTTCACATTATGTGATCCCTTTTTGTATTTTATGTTAAAACTGTTTCTTGAGAAGTCCTTCAAGCCCTGAGTGTTCTGATCAAAGAAAATTCTCTGAAAAGCTAAAGGTCAGAAATAGAATATGTATGTAATGTTAAAGTTAAAGGTGACCTGTGGAGTTGTTTTGTATACTCACAAACACACACTGCGTTTATCCTTGAGCTCTAGCAAACATGTTGAATGCATGTTTGCTTCCTAATGAAATGTCTGCAAAGCTGAAGTTTTTGAACCTTCCTGTTCGGCCCGTTTTCAAAGGTTTTTAGATATCAAAATAAGTGCTCCTCTCTTCTAATTGCCACAATAATAAAATGTATGGTTCAATACTACATACTAAATTATGATCACTCCTTGCATTGCATTGTGGGTGTATAAATGTATAGCATCTGTGGTCTTCCTGGGTCAGTTTTGGGAGTGTGTGGGAGAGAAACTCCCTCTGGAGAGAACACAGGGATGTTAGCCTCTGCAGACCATTTACATGCACTAAAACCTATATAACACACTACAGGGAAGGGAGAACCCCAAAATGCAATAGAATGTTTTTGAATTATTTTTTGCAAACCCGACATTATACATCGATTTCATTCTAATTTTTTCTAAAACCCTCTCTGTCACTTGATCTGCCCACATTCTGTCTGAGATTCAGTATATCTTATATAAAAGTATAACATTCAGCAAGCTGTTCTGTAGTACCAGATCTGTGTCTGCAGGTTTTCATAATGAGTGAAGTGGTTTAACAGAGCGGGGCCCCGATGGTACCTGATGGTCCCCTGTGCCTCCCCCCCCCCCTCTCCCAGTCTGTTAGTGTTGAAGCCAGCACCTCCATCCCAGGCAACAAACACAACTCCTCCAGCCAGTCACCGTGTGTGTGTAGCTGTGTGAGTTTTGGCATTAGCTGCTCAGCAACAAACACCAACTTCAGGAACATTTAGGGAGGAAAAAAAGCATTATTGGAGGCCTAAAATAGCAGCAGACCCCCTGGTGTGGTAAAGTTTGATAGATAAAAGCCTCCGCCTGGGGCCAAGTGTGACGACAGAGAGTGCTGCTGCTCCTCTCTCCTGTCGACTCTGACAGAAGATTGAAAGTTTTAATGTTCACGGCTTTTTGCTTATTAAAATAGAATCGGTTCAAATGATTCTTCGAGACAAACAGCCGTAAACAAGGTGGAGACTGAACTTCTGACAGCTTGGAAGATTGTCACCATATTTGGATACCTTCAAAATCAGCACTTGACAGCTCAAATCAATAATCAATATGCAGCACGCATACATTTGGATATTATAAATACAAATGTTTTTTTTGGGGACCTGACAATTAGACCCTTTCATTTGTATTAAATTATTAAATTATTTATTCCTTTATTAGACAATTATGTTTGCAATCATTAAAACATAAAATATGTTCATTCATATAACAACAATGAAAAACAAATGTTTCTCCAATGAAAGTTAAGGAAACTGTTAAACTTAAACGTTTTAGAATACACCACAACATTTTAAGAGGCCCCATTATCCTTTTTTTTTTTTTTTTCCTCGTGTTATTGGTTTTTGGGTACCACTTTACAATAAGACTACCCTTATAAAGGATTCATAAAGGGTTTACAATTAGGTTATTAATTAGGTTGTAAACACTTTATTAATCATTAAGAACCATTTATAAACCAGTTCTAACTAAGCCTTATATTGGCTACCTAGCTTACTTTGTCTTCTTCATCAGCCAACATCCTTGGTATCTGTTGTTCACTGAGTTGAGCCTTAAGGCTCCCTTTTACCAATTTGTATTGTAAAGTGTTAAACAAATCACCATTTATTAATGAGTTACTACCATTTATAATTTGTTTAAGTTATATTAAGTCTTAAAGTTATGCATAAATTAGGGCGTGGTCACATTGAGTGACAGGTCTGTCCAGTGACTGCTGCTGTTAGCTTTCTGCTCTGCTAGCAGCTCCGTGATGCTACAGGGGCTCTGCCTGCTCAGCTCATCCGGGGAACATAACTTGAACTCTGCCGTGTTTGTTGTGCTGGTGCCTTGTGGACTATTCTTCATGCTTATATCGTACTATTGTGACTCGCTCCGCGTTTGAAACAGACGGTGCATGAATGCAGTTTTACGGTAAGTGAAATTTGATTACTTTATTTATGTGTTGCTTATGATTTTAGTCAGCTAATGTTAATGAATGTTAAGGCTTGGGTTAGCATGTAGTAAGCAAGTGGTAGCTACATCTGTGCTAACGATGCTAATCGTAGCCTCCAATTTAAAACGTTATAGAGAAGTGTTAAGCATTAAGTGGGATAATACTGTTGAACAAACGGCTTCTGTTTGAGGTTGGTAAAATAAAGTCATCCTTTTAAGTTAGAGAGATATTTTATTAGGTAGGTAACTTTATGCATTGATAAGGTTAATCTTAATTTGCTATGATCGATTATGTAGACAAGCTTACGTCAAAGTAGTGTTGAAGAGCGGCGTAGTGTATGTGAAATTAACCTCACAATAAGATGTGTGTATATTACAAATATTAATGTCCTATTTCAAGATCAGGGCTCGACAGTAACGGTTGCCAGGTTGCCATTGGCAACCATTCAGAAAAAATGTCAACCACTTCTTGGCCTTTGGTTGCCATCAGTGGCAACCACTTTTTAACATGAAGTAATAAGGACAGCAAACAGCTAAATGTGCACCCCAAAATAGATAAATGTTAATTATTTGTTGTATTAAGAGTGATATTTAATTATTGTTGTGACCAGTCGGAACCTGATACTTAAGTTGCACGTGCATTGGTGTGGTTACGGAGCCAGAAAGCGATGCACGTTTACTCGCGTGCGCAGTGCGCTGTGTGTTTGTTTTACAAAAAATGGCGAAGCAAATTAAGTTGTTTGACTGTGGGGTAAAACGTTCGGCCAACCCGTCAACATCTCAAACGAATGTTCAAAGTGATTCAACTGATAAAGCGCAAGGTGAACCCGAACAAAAGCAAAGAGGAAATGGGTAAAGTCTTGGGAGGCGAAATATATATGTACATTCTGCTCCGTTGTCCATTCACTTCCGGTGCAAGTTCCTTCAAAATAAGAGTCCCGATCTTATTACTACCAAAATAAAAGTGCAAAACGAAACTTTACCATAGGAAAATATTGGCATACAAATATAATCACTTCTATAAAATGGTAACACATTTAAATATAGTTAGACATATTAAAGGTAATTTACAGCATTAATAATTCATATCTAATTCTTAACTGTGAATGGTTTTCATTTATTTAAAATTAGAAATGTATTAGTCTGGCCAATCCAAGACTTCAATGCTGAAGGGCCAATGGATCTATGGTGGGGATCAGCACAAAGGTCAAGAAAACCCACATTTGAAAGGGAGACAACGGATGACGAAACTAGTGACTTGCTCAATTCATTTGTGGATCTGTGAAGAACATGACAACAGCTGCACTGCTGGTATTTTGTATACCAGCAATTGAGGGTGGACAAGTTTACTACCACTTAAGTTTCAAATAATTGTGTTAATTACTTATTGTAAAGCATTTGAACATTCTTTTGTGTCACATGTTCATTATTAAGTTGATGTATAACTGTATAGTATCTTAATTATTTAAAATATAAGGTGACTAAAAATGGCAACCGTATTTTCAGTTTTGGCAACCAAAAGCTGATGCCTGGTTGCCAGCCTGGCAACCACTTTTAAAAGTTAGCGTTGAGCCCTGAAGATGATTACTTAGATATTACAATATGGTTGGTTGAGTTGGAGTTCATTATTGAGGTTACACGTTAACGTCACAGTCATATCTGAAGAACGAACCCAAACCTTGTTCTTTTTATTAATTGTATTACCAAATTGGTATCAAATAAATAGTAAGCATTGGTAACACCAATGATGATAAAGTAAACTATTTTATTTGAGTATTTGTGTCTGGGAGAAGGTATTGTACCCAGTTCCTATGTTCGGCAGTTACAGACTGGGCTTTCTTGTAGAAGAGACAAAAAAAAAAAAAAAATAATATGGACCATTACTGTATAATCAGGGGTGCACATAACTGGTACGCAGGCAGGGGCGGTACTGAAGTGGGCCGGTCGGACGATGTGGGCCGGTCGGATAAGTCACTAGCACCCCCCTCCCCCCCCCCCCCCCGTTAGTAATTTACCGAGGTGGGCCGGCGGTTCCGAAGTGGGCCGATCGAGAGTCCCGGGCTGATTTGTAGTCCCAGTCCGCCCCGGCAACAATCTGAAATGCGTACCGTCACTTGTGTCACAAAGCGCATTTGCGTACCGACGTACTTCAGTTTTCAGTTTTCAGAGCGTAACATAGCTTTCGGTTTGGGCAAACTGCGTGCGCATCACTCTCACTCCTCAATGGTAACGTGTAGGTGGATTTAGGAACTTCCCTGTTGATTATATTGACTCTAACGGTTCAAAAGTGGTGTCAATCACCAAAATCCACCAATGGGTTCCAGAGATATGGCAAATACACCCAAATGACTCCAGAGGTGGGTTTTTTTTCGAAACCTCTCTAAAAAGGTCAAATTTCACTTGTTTTGCATCAATCTTGATACAGGGTACTAATTATATGTTATAGTTTGGATTCCTAAAGCGTTTAGTCTACTATCCCATAATTCAAGGGTGGTTTTCACTATAAGTAATGGGGTTTTTTTGGACGGAAACTATAATTTACATTGTTTTACTATGTTCAATCTGAATTTAATTTAAAATAAAATAAATTCTATATTGATTCTGACTCTTCTACATCCAACTCACAGGTTTATCATTGCTTTGAGAAAAAAGATTATGGTAACACTTTATATTAAGGTACACAAATTAACCATCAACTAGTTGTTAATTAACATGCATATTAGCAGTATATTGGCTCTTTATTAGTCATTAT